TAGGTAGGCGGACAGCTTAGACACCCAAGTTAGTGAATGTGATAACTCAAGAACAAGGTGACGTTAGATTTTGAAATTGATGCCATAGGTGTGTCTACTAGGAGGCTCAGGGGAACCACTTGTGGTTAATGACAATTTAATACGTTGTTTGGAGTAGGCGGCTCTCAAAGGGACAGTTTTCCATTAAAAAAGAGACACACGATCTGTGAATCCACCCCTCTGTGACTGTCAGACGCTGACTTTAATGTGAACGCGTACAGGAAATCCTGGGTTAACTGGAGTTGATGACCAGCTTCGTGTTTGCTAATGCTAGGATAAGTGAATCCAGATAATGAAACGAAACTCTGCATATGTTAAACAAGCTTTGTAGTAAAGGCCCTGGTTACTGAAGAGGCTGCCTTTCTGTTTGCCATTTATTTTACAGAATCATAATTAACTTTAAAGAGAAAAGATTCAACTCGGGATGTTAAGTAAAACAACCAAAGCCTAATTTCTACAGATACTAAAAGCAGAGATGAATCCGCTTGTAGTAGTAGTGAAGAACTTTGCTTCCTACTCTTGTAACAACCGTGTAGACCCAAAAGCAGAGCCAACAGAGACATGTATCAAAGTATTACAGTCTTTATTTACTGTACATATGAAAACATTGAGGTAAGTACTGAGGGGCCATGGGAATAGCACAGGGGCTTCCTCCGGGTCTGGGGTAAGAAGGAGGCTTTCCAAAAAGGAAGGGACAGTGTGCTGGTTGAGTTCAGGTAAGTGTTGTCGTAGGTGGGTGAGCAGGCAGATGGAAGAGTAGTGCAGAGTGATCCAGGTGAGTACTGTGAATGAACCAACGTGCTCATCTGATGGAAGATAACGGAGACGGAAAGCTATTCAGCTGATGGGAGGAACACTGGGAACAGACAGAGGCACATGAGAATAGGAATGCTAGGAAACTGCTAAGGAACAAGGTGTTTGCCGCTTGTTGGAGGGAGACTATCTGGCAGAGTACGGATGGCAAAGCTGGTCCTTTTATACTCAAGTTGAGGAAACGGATGACAGGCAGGTGTGTGCAGCTGAAGAGTGGGAAACCCAAACTCCACCCAAAGAAAAGGAGAGTGCCTTCGGGATGATTGCTTGGAGGAATAAGAGGAAGTCCAAACAACCAGAGCCCGACTGTGACACTACAGCAGCATTAATCTCCCAGATGTTTCTGTTTGTTATGAAGAATGGTTGAATAGTTCCCCTTTCATATTCAGACGTATTGTTTGCTTGAAATTGCCATCCCCAAGTGTGTGTGTGTCCTTATTGGGATAGGCATGGGTGGCGATTGTGAGATAGCACAGCCTCAGTGTTAGTGATACAGCGACGTTCACTAGTGTGCACAACAAGCTCACAAGTGTCTGAGAGCATCAGCCACCTATGGAAATACCAGCTAATTAAATGCAGAGGTGTGTATAAACACATTGTGAGTGAAAAGTGATGAATATAATAGCAACACTATGCAGTGCATCATGGGAAGCCCCCTGCAGGCTAGCCCCATGGCAGTGTAACTAAGACCAGGCCCCCCTGCTATGAGCAAGCAGCTGTGGGAAGTGCTTGCTCATAGAGGAGACATCTGATTGTTGGAGTTTCTTAAGTGCCTTGAAGCAACCGTTGTTGTGTTTTGCTGCTATTATTACTATACAAAGGAAAAATGGGTGATTGGGTATTTTTGGATTAACTGAAGGCTTTTCAGGGAGTTTTTAGGAGAGCCTGACAATAACAGTCCAGCCTGGAAGTAACGGATGCATCAACTAGTTTTTCAGCATCAATCTGAGACAGGATATTTCTAATTTTAGAGATACTGTGCAAATGGCAGGAAGCAGTCCTACACATTTGTTTTATATGCACATTGAAAGACGCGTTGTGTTCAAAAATGACTCCTAGCATATCCTGAGGTAGTGCCATCCACACTAAGCATCTGAATTACCAATAACTTCAGCTTTATCTGAATTTAGAAGCAGGAAGTTAGAGCTGATCCAGGTCTTTGTGTCTATAAGATATTTATGCAGTTTAACTAATTGGTGTTTGTTATCTAGCTTGATAGATTGATAGAAGGTAGGTATCCTCTGCATAGCAGTGAAAATTTATGCTATGTCTTCTGATGATGCTGCAGAGAAGCATGTATAATGTAAACAGAATTGGTCCTAGCACTGAACCCTGTGGAACTCCATAATTAACCTCGAATTGTTTATGGACTCTCCATTTATATAAACAATTAGATAGATATGATACAAACCAGCTACGGCATGCAGTAAGTTAAATATTATGGTCGGCAGTATCGAACGCTGCACTAAGGTCTAGCAGGACAAGCACAGAGACAAGTCCACTGTCAGAGGCCATAAGAAGATCAGTTGTAACCTTCACTATTCTGAATCCTGACTGAAACTGAAATTTAAATAAACCTCTGCAAATGATCAGTTAACCCTTTGACAGCTACTCTTTCAAGAATTGTTGGTGTAATGTCTTTCAGCAGTCTTGTAGGAATAGGGTCTAAAGGACCCGTTGGTGGTTTAGGGGAATAAATAATTGAAGTAAACAGAAGATTGATAGGAAATGTCACCAGGTGTTAAAGCTGTTATACTGAATGTTTCATCTATGGGATGGCTTTGAATAATTTTTTCTCTAATGATTAAAATTTTATTTGTGGAGATGTTCATGAAGTCATTACAGAGCTCTGACTGGTTGTCACCCTGGCTACAGTGCTGAAGAGAAAGGGTTGTTCTTATTGTCTTTAATCAGCGATGAGCAGTAAGACGTAGCTTTTTCTTAAAGCAGCAAACTATTCTTCCATGCTCACTGATAATGATGTCAGCTTATGAGTTACCTGCTTTAAGGTGCACGTTTGAGAGTTATAACAGGGTGTGAAGTACTTCTGATTTAAGACCTGAGTTTTCAG